AAAACGTCGGTAGAAAGATGCCAGGCCAAGGAAGGATCGGACATCTGTAGGTGTCCTCGGCTGAGGCCAGGACTTGACTTTCTCAACGTTGTTTGGGTCAGGTTTCACTCCTTCGGTGTTGATTATGTGGCCAAGATACGTAACTTCTTTCTTGAAAAAGCCACACTTTGAGGGTTTAAGTTTGAGTCCAGCGTCTCTGAATCGTTGCAATACTTCTTGGAGGTTCTTGCAATGATCATCGAAGTCCTTGCCCATGACTATGCAGTCATCAAGGTATACCAGGCATGTAGACCAGTGGAGGCCATGTAGAACGGCTTCCATGAGACGCTGAAATGTCATGGGAGCGTTGACCAGTCCGAATGGCATGACAGTGAACTGGTAAAGCCCTGTGCCTGTGGTAAAAGCAGTCTTCTCTGTATCTTGGGGATCAAGCTTGACCTGCCAATATCCACTTGATAAGTCCATGACGCTGAAATATGCTGATGAAGAAAGGGAGTCAATTGAATCATCTTGGCGTGGAATAGGGTGAGAATCTCGAACAGTTACTGCATTGAGTTTTCTGTAATCCACGCAAAATCTGTATGTGTTGTCCTTCTTCTTCACCATGACGATTGGGCTCGCCCATGGGCTGAAGCTCTCTTCAATGATGCCTCTTTGTAGAAGTTCGTCCACTTGCTCCTGAATTTCCACTCTCATTGCTGGTGAAGTTCGATACGCCCTCTGTCGTATTGGAGTAGCTGTGGTGGTGTCAATGTGGTGATGAATAATGTCAGTCTGACCAATATCCTGAGACGTCGTGCTGAAAATATCACTGTAGGTCTGAAGAAGATGTTCAGCTTTCTCGTACTCTGTCCTCGTGAGTTCTGAAGAAGGGAGAACACCAGCAACTGGTGACTTGTCTGTCACTTGTGGATCAGCGTCAGTAGTTACGCTCATGATCTTGTATTCCTCTTCGGTATCCCCAGTAATGGAGAAGAATTGACCAAGGCAGGTGTCTGCAGGTAGATCGACTGCTTCGTCAGAGGGATTAATGAGGCGTACTAGAATAAGACCATCTTGAGGCTTGAACAGAGATCTGGCACCGATAACAGGAATGTGATCTTGCAATGTAGGTTCAAAGTAGCCATCATAGTCTCTTGGTACGATGTCGAACTGTGGCGACGACAATCTTCCCTGGACATGAGTTTCGCAGCTTGGGGGAATCCGAGCTTGTCCAACAAGAGAAACTTTACATTTCAGCGGGGCTTGGTATTGCTGACGATCGATGAAGGGAATAACATTTCCAGGCATGTTGAACGATGTTGGCGATATGCAGGCATTCTGGCTGTCAACAAAGTCCCATCCAAGGACAACTGAATGAGTGATGTTGCGTGCAACAACGAACTTGTGTTGTGTAGCCTTGTTCCCTAAGTGCAGAGATGGTACGATTGTCCCAATGTTGTCTACCAGCCCACCTGTGATAGTAGATGCCATGGACGTCAACTTTTCCAATGGGCTCCTTTGCGATGCTGGAATGGATGACAAAAATTTGGCACTCAACAGAGAGATGAATGATCCACTATCTACGAGTGCCAATACATAGACATTGTCGATAACGATAGGGATGTAGGGCGATTTCTTTGGCGAAATAGGTGCTATTCGCATTGGGGCCTTGGTGTGTGTAGTTGATGAATGGCCCTCTTCCTCAACTACCAGAAGTTTCCCTGCTGCTGGTCTTCAAAACGAACTTGACGATAGGGAGCCTGTCTATGGGAGTCAACTTGATAACCTGCAGTGGAAGGATGCTGCTGATTTCGGCTGCTAGAAGATTCATAGGGCCGTCTAGAGGGTGAAGTCCTAGATTGATATGCGTAGCTCCGATTAGGGCTTGGAGATATGCGTCTTGCATATTCAGGAGATCTGCGTCCTGCATATTCTGGAGATCTGTGTCTTGCATATTCTGGAGATCTCTGTCTTGCATATTCTGGGGACCTGTGTCTTCGGTAGTCTCGGCTTGGTGACGGAGACCCACGACGTTCCATGTGTCTTCCCTCACGGGAGCCTCCTGATGGGCTGCCACCACGTTGCTGAGATCTGCTAGGCCTTTCAACTGTCTCTAACTTTAAGGACATCCTATCCAGCTTCTTCTCTAACTCGTTGAGTCTTGGCAGTAGCAGTCGTAAGACTGATGATTCTGCAGGCGTCTTGTCCTGGACCCGATCATCTACTGCTGCTACTATACCAAAATCGTGTGCTTGGTGTGCTCTTTCTACACGAAGTGCGATCGTCAAGGCCTCGTCAAAATCAAAGCCTCCGAGCTCGTGAATCTTGACTTGAAGCGGTTTGTCTACCCCGGCAACAAATCGTCGAAATCTCTCACCACCTTTTGCATTGTCATCATAAGACGGGAAAGCCTCTTCTACTAAGGAAGCAATGGCTGATGCAAACACCTCTAAAGGCTCACCTGGTTGGCGAGTTCGGGCAGTAATACAAGACTTGAATGTGTCAATAAACTGTGTCCGGCCGAAAACCTGAGAGAGTTTCTCTTTCATCTTCTTGAAATCCTTCTTGTCCGAAGCAGACAAGCTCTCCCACACGATGAAGGCTGATCCTGCTAGTCTTGCCGGAAGGAGGGTGGTCAAGTTGATAGAAGTGTCCGAAAACGCCTGTGCAGCAACTTCAAATCGACGTATCCATTGACGGAAGTCTTTGCCGTTCTCTCCCGTAAACACTTCTGGCAATTCCATGCGATAAGATGCCATACTGTAGGAGTTATAAGCAATCGACTCAACAGATATGATCATCAACAAGATATCAACCCAGTAAAACTTACTGAATGAGTCAATGTGAAGGAGGGGGGGGGGGGGGTGGACGGGGGGTCACTCTGAGTGCAGATGAAGAAAATGCAAACTCAACAGTTGAAATATCTGTGGCGAGCGGCTATGATGGAAGGAGGGTGTATTCTGCAACTGGTTATGTTGCTACGCCAACACTATGTAGAATATGCAGGTTGATATGGCAGAATGCTGTAATGTACGGCAGCCAAAGGCAGACTATACATGCAAACTGGATGTGATAAGTTGCTAGAAAAATACAGAACTGTATGAAGGGTGAAGAAAAAAACCTCGCTCACTGACGAATCGATGAATGCAAGAATATTCACCAAAATACAGCTCCAGTATGAAGAAGAGTAAAGGAAATCTCACTTACTGATGCAGTATGAATGAAGAAATTCACAAAACTACTGATGTAGGAAGAAATCAAGGCTCAAAAAGTCAAGATGAAACTTCAGTAATTAATGAAGGAGGTTGAATACACACAAACACTAGCTGCCTCAGCTTAAAATGAAGGGAGGTCAATCAGTGCAGAAGAAGGGTGATATCATGCTCTCAAACATTCACATTCATATACAGATGGAGGGAGAATTTCACTTTGCAACTCACCACTAAAAACACTGCAGGAATTTCTACATATGAAGGAAGGCTGCAATTACAGTTAAGTGCAGAAAAACCACTGCTGGCACCAGTTGTAAAGTCCCTCACAAAACAAAAGTGGTCTCACATGGTTGAGGACTTGAGCTGCACTATAGATTTTATTCCAACCACAAAATGGCTGCCAAGATGGCTGACATCCAGTCCATCAAACAATAATAACCAATCACAAGATTGGACAATAAATAGGTAACCAATAGAAAAGCTTGTAAAAGATAGAGTGCCATGTGCCATGTGTGCTGGGTTGAATAGCTAAGAGATAAGGAAGAGTGTGTGTGTGTGTGGTGCTATAGCAGGTAATGTGCATGAGGATGAATGAATAGGGACAGAACAATAGAAGCCAAGAGCTAGCAGACATGAGAAAATGAATGTAGGTCAGGAGTGCGCTAAAGCATATCGGAGTGGAAAACTAAATGTACAGTGTGAAATAAACAAGTAACCACTTGGATCCGTAAAATTAAAACCTTACACTAGCATGGCTCGATTGCGGTTTGCATGCAATTACCGTACCTGAATGAATGTACTTTCGCGCGAAGTTTTGAACTTGTTGTCCGGGCAATGACCATGATGACACGCCCATTCCCTCGGGCCTGTCTAATTCTCAACGTAATTGAAATTGATTGTTTCAAGGCTCGTCTTACGGACGGCCAGGCGCGCGCGTAGAAGGAAATGTATAATTATGAGCTGGATATCTCCTATTTTATGGACATTCTGGAGTCGGCAGATGGGTGAGTTGTCTTAGTGAAAGTAAATGCTTTCTTTTAATCTTAGTTTTATTATAAACAAAGTAGTAATTAAAAAGTTAGATTTGGGCATTGGCCTCCCGGCGCTAGAGTAGTTCCGTATCCATTTTTTTAGCAGTTTAATAATCCATTCTTATAGGCTTAGCAAAGGAATTTTAGCCCAATTTGTTACTAATTTGAATCATAATCATGATATAGAGGTCTAGGGCCTATTGCATTTTCCACCTGAATTTGGATCACATCCGACATCGGGAAACCTCCGTTTAGTTTAGGGCTTCGATGTCGACGTCGTTGCTCAGTACCATCTCCAGTAGGGGCGCTGGTCCGAGAATGAGGATCGTCCTCATAAACAAGGATATCCTCATAAACGAAGACAAAATGTGTCCTCAAAAACAAGGGTCGTCTGCATTTTCGAGGACGTTTTTTTTCATCAGCGCTCTGGGGGTTTCATGTTACAGAACGGCCCGCTGGCGATGCCAAAAATGGATTCCCCGGGGGAAAATAACCCTAGTTGTCCGTCTACTTTTATGGGTTGTCCGTCTTCCCAAGGATTTATTGCTCATAATGTGAAGGTCTCTGTACAAAGTCAATGTAAATTGCATCAAGAAAATCATTGCAGAATCCGTTTTTTGCATCGGCAATGCGCCGATCAAAAATATGAAATGTCTGCAAAAATGCAGACGGTCCTTATTTTTGAGGACGCATCGGTCAGTGTTAAAGAAGACGATCCTCGTTTATGAAGACGATCCTTATTCTTGGACCAGCGCCCCTACTGATCTCTACGCTATAGAGTAGTGGCTCTGGTCTGCGGCCGATCGGCGGGAACTGCCGATTCTATTTTTATTGGAATACTCACAGAATACTTCAATACCCTCAATAAAGAGTCCATATACTTACTTATTAAATAGAAGTCACAAATAACCTAACTGACCCACAGCGTGGTCAGCATTGACCACGTTTCGAAATGCTTCGAGTTCCCCGGTTTGCGGGCACGCATTACCGGTTTGCGGCACGCGTACGTCACAAAGCTTTATGCGCTACGTCACGATGAAAGCATGTACCAAATTACTACGGGTAACCCAAATTCTCATGTTTATCTGTTGCTACGGTAAATTTGTCAAGTTTTAAACAATTTCACCTTTTTCTCGAATGGATCATCCCATCCGGGGGTAGATCTAAGTACTACTAGAAACTATCGGGTCATAGCGGGTACACACATCAGCACACATACCATCATACACGATCCCGCATGTTATGTGTGTATTAACACCCCCCGCCGCAAACCAGAAAAAACACGTAATTACGTGCCGGTTTGCGGCCACCCCATGCAACTGGCCATGCGGTGGCACAATCAAAATATCTGCGATAGGAGACAGACCACAGCCATCATACTTCCACAAAAACATCAAATTTCACCTCCAATCGGACAAATATCGGACAAATAGAGCTACAATATTGATCTAGTCATGCCTCGATCTCTTAACTTAAAAGTTAGCACCTGCTGGAATTTTCATCGGCGACTGGTGCCGTAGATTTCCGACATCGCTGACGGATACTCCGTACCGACAGGAGCACCTGCTACGGACATTTTCGGCAAAGCAGAACTTACTGTGGAATCCACGGTAGGTTTCAATGATTATTATCGAGTCATATTCATTTTATTTTTAAAACAAATACCCCTGGCCGCAAACCGGGCGATGCCGCAAACCGGAGACTCTACTCTAGCTCTGCACCTCAAACTGAAGCTATCAGTCCAAAATTATGCACATTTCTCGCATGCACGATACCATAAACCATACGAGAAGTTTGCATAATTTTGGACTGATAGCTTCAGTTTGAGTTGCAAAGCTATAGATCTAGCGTAGAGACGGTACTGAGCGACAACATCGACATCGAAGCCTTAAAGACAGTTTAAACGGAGGTTTCCTGATGTCGGATGTGATCCAAACTAGTCTATGTCTAGGTCTAGATCAAACTTTTAGACCTATGGCTATGAATTAAAATTAGTAAAAAATTGGGCTAAATTTCCTTTGCTAAGAATGGATATGAAACTGCTAAAAAAAATGGACACGGAACTACACTAGCGCCGGCCTCCCTATACACAACGCCGCAGCAACAATTATAAACCTCTGAGTCTGCTCTGTACGGTAAGCGGTACAGGGGTGTGTTTTGACTAACGTGTGGCTGCAAACATGACTTTCCATGCAGCATAATGAGAAGGAAATCTCGAATAATCAACTTACCTAAACGACGTGTACAACTAAGGTCAAGATTCGGCTTCACAAGGCAAGATTTTGTCCAAGAGACAAACCACAAAGTGACGATGCTCTCGCGACGACAAATGTTGTTGTTGTGTTTTGGTTTAATGGCGATTAGTCAGTAATTTGACTATAATTGTCACCAAAATACTTTACGGCACGCGTTATATCTCTCATTTTTGTATTTTTTAAAAATATATTTATTTCGTTTTATATTTATCTATCTTTTAAGATAGTATCGAAAAATAATATTGTAAGCAAAACATTCATGGGCTTTATTAGTGTTTTTTAACAGTACGTGCAGATTATTTGTTATATCACATACACACAATACATAAATGTATTAAAAAAAAGGCATTACGGTATTCTCTAAAACAAAAATAAAAATTGAAAAGAAAGAAATCTTGCAAAATTAAATTCATCAGGTAATTCACCAAGTCTATGTTATCTACAAATTGATTGATATTTTTATTGTAAAAAGATATCGTAGACTACTCTTGCAATTAAAACTGAGGCATCTAAACAAATAATTATACATAATACATTTATAAAGCTCTGGGTTTTCCTTGTGCTTGATCATTTTTTAAAAATTCTGTAGGCTAACATTCTTATTCTTTCTTTCAAATCAAATCATAAATGCCCATATTTATTTCACTTGAATATTGATATGAAAATCTCATTTTCAGTTTAAATAATCATAATAGGCAACACTTTGATCTTTGTCCAGTAAAGCCATGTCCCAAATGAATTTTGGTTTTCAACTTAACTGCCAAGTCTTAAATGTAAGAGATCCATCATCAGTGGTGGATCCGGGGGGATGGGGGTGGACACAATCGACGCCCCCTATTTTTGTGAAAACCACTCATTGACTGCATGTTAAAATCATAAAAATTTGGGTGCACCCCCCCCCCCCCCCCCCCCCCATTTTCGGATCCCCCTTTTAAATCCTAGATCCGCCACTGCATTATCTTGTCACAATCACAATGATCATCACAACAATCCTACCAAGGATCACCCTTATGATGACCATAATCATCTTCATCTCCATATACATCATTATCATCATAATCATCATCATGCACCATCATCATTATCAACATCATATCATCAATATCTTCATCAACAACATAATTGTCATAAACACAAAAATGGACTCGAGTTGGCTTATAAATTAAAAAAACAAAAAATAAAATCTTTCAGATAATTATGTCAGTTCCATTATAAGCCAACCCGAGTCCACTTTGGTGCTTCACACATCAATTCCAGGACCAACCGAGACCGGTTTAAAATCTTTATGCAAACTCAATCCAGTTTTCAAATGGCATCATCTATACATTGTGCCACCTCCACAGGCCACCTCAGTCCATATCTAACACTTTTCTAAGACCACTTGAAGCACAATCCAATACAGTCCACTCCTGTTATAACGACATTTGGAAAAGTGCATAACATGCATTGTATCTAAACTCGATATAACAGGAATACTGTAATCTAATATGATAACACTATTACAACTTGAAACCTATATTCACTCACTCCTCAAAGAAATAAGAATCATTGTATAACAATGCACATACACTGTACATGGCACATAGAATTCATCTCTACAATTCATTCATGGACAACACCATCCCCTGATTAGTATTTCAATCACATAAATAAATTTAAACAGTTATTCATGAAACTATATTAAAAAATACTTTAATACAAATATAAACACTAATAGAAGCAACTTTATGCAACTTTTCATCTGTATCATTGTATTGTTGATCCAATTGTATATGTTAAACACTACACATGCATCACAGAAAAAAATAGTATACCCAAATTTAAAAGCATCATATATATATGTATAAATTGTATGACCTTGTTTTATTTCATGTTAAAGATTAACTTATATTCTCTTCAATAATACAGAACTTAATTACTTTCATGGTAAGTTATACCTTATGAGGAAATAAGAGTACAGGGTACTTTTTTATGGGATGCACTATAACATATTTTGTTTTAAACTGTGCTAATAACTACTAAAATCTTCACAACAAATAAAACATTACAAATTAAATCTACCCCAGATGTGTATACTTTGCTCCTATTGTGAAACATTTCAAATGTTAATTTCTTGCAACAATCTAAACTTAGTAAATAACATTTTTTCAAATATTTCCTTACTTTCTGACGTACAATTAACACATTTTAGGAAAGCAATCATTCATATACATCTTTACACTTGACCTATTAATATCCATACGGCACAGGAATATTACCGGATCGATATAACTTTCATACGGAACGTATAATCTCTGTAATCATATTTTTTTTTACTTACTCTCTGTCATACAATTAACACATTTTAAGAAAGCAATCATTCAAATGCAACTTAATACTTGACCATGAACAGAAATATCTATAATGCACAAGAAAATTGTAACATATCTTACAGGATCGAACTTTCAAACCCAACAGTTTCAAACAAAACGCAAACAATGTGACGGAAGTTGATAAAATAGAACAATTATAACCAACATTATGGAGAATATTCTCAATACTCTCCCCCCCCCCCCCCCAAAAAAAAAGGTTGTCAGGCTCCAAAACTAACACTTAAAATTCACCTTTAAAATTACATGTATATAGTATAAATTGCTAACAAAAATATAAACAAAATATAAAGACAATTTATACAACTACGTCTAATATGCCTCCCCCTTAAAACAAATTATTTCAAAAAAGGGTGACATCTGTGGCCCTTGACCTTTAACCTCTGTATTCCAACAGTTAAAACCAACAACTATGTATAACCATATCCAAAACAACAAAATCACATTTAAATGTACGATTGGGGTCAAAAGTTTACATATCATAGAAAATATAAAACAAACATTTTTACCACAATAACAAAAATAAACTTCATTTTTTTAATAAAAATGGAGTTTTGCATATATTTGGTAACATAATTTTTTGGAGGTTTTTCTGTTTAGTGAAAATTTAATACATGTTTACATAGGAAAAACATAATAATACTATATTTCTAACTAAAGTATGCATGTCTAGGTATTTGGGTTTGTTTACCAATATAACAGTATCAAAAATAGTTTCATTAGCATCATGCTCATCTGGAAAACAATTAAATAATCATACTTTCTGCACAACATAATTGATAATACTTACATTGATTCAATCTAGGTCAAATGTTACATATCTAAAATAATTAGTGGCAATGCCTGTAATTTGCATTATTTTTGATTATCCATATTTTTTCAAGCAAGATCACAAAAATGAAAGCTCTATTGAGTGTATACCTTTTATTTTTATTATCTTACTTTCTGACCTACAATTAACACATTTTAGGAAAGCAATCATTCATATACATCTTTACACTTGACCTATTAATATCCATACGGCACAGGAATATTACCGGATCGATATAACTTTCATACGGAACGTAAAATCTCTGTAATCATATTTTTTTACTTACTCTCTGTCATACAATTAACACATTTTAAGAAAGCAATGATTCAAATGCAACTTAATACTTGACCATGAACAGAAATATCTATAATGCACAAGAAAATTGTAACATATCTTACAGGATCGAACTTTCAAACCCAACAGTTTCAAACAAAACGCAAACAATGTGACGGAAGTTGATAAAATAGAACAATTATAACCAACATTATGGAGAATATTCTCAATACTCCCCCCCCCCCCCCAAAAAAAAAAAAGGTTGTCAGGCTCCAAAACTAACACTTAAAATTCACCTTTAAAATTACATGTATATAGTATAAATTGCTAACAAAAATATAAACCAGACAATTTATACAACTACGTCTAATATGCCTCCCCCTTCAAACAAATTATTTCAAAAAAGGGTGACATCTGTGGCCCTTGACCTTTAACCTCTGTATTCCAACAGTTAAAACCAACAACTATGTATAACCATATCCAAAACAACAAAATCACATTTAAATGTACGATTGGGGTCAAAAGTTTACATATCATAGAAAATATAAAACAAACATTTTTACCACAATAACAAAAATAAACTTCATTTTTTTAATAAAAATGGAGTTTTGCATATATTTGGTAACATAATTTTTTGGAGGTTTTTCTGTTTAGTGAAAATTTAATACATGTTTACATAGGAAAAACATAATAATACTATATTTCTAACTAAAGTATGCATGTCTAGGTATTTGGGTTTGTTTACCAATATAACAGTATCAAAAATAGTTTCATTAGCATCATGCTCATCTGGAAAACAATTAAATAATCATACTTTCTGCACAACATAATTGATAATACTTACATTGATTCAATGTAAGTCAAATATTACATATCTAAAATAATTAGTGGCACTGCCTGTAATTTGCATTATTTTTGATAACCCATATTTTTTCAAGCAAGATCACAAAAATGAAAGCTCTATTGAGTGTATACCTTTTATTTTTATTATCTTAGATGTATGAAAGAAGTTTCTTGAAAGTTACCAAAAGCAAAAATAATAATAAAACTAAAGGAAAATACAGGCAATGTACATCACCAATTATATCCAAATCAAAATAATATTAACATGAACATGTACTTTATACCTTCAACTAAAACCCAGAGCCATTAGTAAACAGAGTTTGGCCAACTCGGTTACATTTGGGTAACAACATGGCGCATTTTCTTTTGTATTGTGCTTGCCTAACAAAGCAATATGCGCCATGTTATAACCTAAACGAGCCGGGTTGGCCGAACTTTGTTTATTGATGGCTCTGCTAAAACCTATACATCCTAAGGTAAAGTCTTACATAAACTTAAACATCATCCTGTCTCAACCTGACGCACACCATGACCATCCCCTCCTGCCGGATGCTCAAGATCCCCCTTGTGGGCAGATGGTGCAGGTTTACTTCAATATTGGATTGACCATTGACGGTGACCTCGTATTCTGTTCCATCACATTCGAAAATCAATTCATATGGTAATTCCAGGCTGTAAGGAAACAGACAAACACAATATTAGATGAATATTCAAATAATCCCCAAACCAAACAATATTATGACAAGTGTTCTTCCAAAC